TATGATGATTATTATTATTTTGTTGTTGTTCACCTTCCTATTAATTTAATTTAATTTTAACGATTTCATAGAAATAAATTCTTAATAAAAACAAAATAAACGTTAAATGTACACTGCTGTTCAAAAGTATGGTGTCAGTAAGATTTTATATAAATTTTAAGAATTTAACATTTTTATTTAGCAAGGATGCATTAAATTGATCAAAGTGACAGTAAAGACATTAAAAAAAGTCTATATCAAACAAATGCTGTTCTTTTGAACTTTCTATTAATCAAGGAATCCTGGTAAAAAAAAGCTTCATGGTTTCCACAAAAATATTAAGCAGCACAACTGTTTTCAACATTAATAATAATAATAAATGTTTCTTGCAACAAATCAGTATATTAGAATGCTTTCTGAAGGATCACACTGAAGACTGGAGTAATGATGCTGAAAATCCAGCTATGCATCACAGAAATAAATGACATTTTGACATATTCAAATAGGAAATAGTTATTTGCAATAATATTTCAATTTAAGTAATATATTTAAGTATTTTTGATCAAATAAACGCTGGCTTGGTGAGTATAAGAGACTTCTTTCAAAAACATTAAAAAAATATTACAGACCCTAAACTTTTGGACGGTGCTGTATAGGTATGAATTATTATGTCTAAAGGCTATGCTCTTAAGGGTTTAAATACTGTGAACATGAACTCGAGATTAAAGTTTAAAGCTGCAGGATATTATGCTCAAACTCTGTCATGGATGCAAATCTTAGTGCATTCAACTCGACAACAAATCTTGACTTGCCTGCCTGGGATGCATCACGCCACAGTCTCTCAGACATTGTCAGGGACTGGATTACAGCAAATTAAGCATTTTGAGGAAATGGCTGGGTAAATATCACCGTTGGGGTTTCCAGTCATACAGATAGTTCTTGTACTGTGAAAATCATTTCAAAACTCTCATGCTAAAAAGGTTTAGCTAGATTTGAGTCTGTTTTGTCCTATGTTATCCTGAATTTAGTTTACACAGAAGTATATAACAAAATATATTACTTTTACAATTACTTGAGGAACTATAACTTCTAGTAACTACAATATTTTACAATACAATTTCAGAAAATATCCCATAGCCTATTGCAAAAGCCTTTCATTTTACTTTCACTTTGCAGTTAATGATAGCATAACTTCAACTAAAATATCTTCAACTAAAAAATAAAGCTAAAAATAAAGCCTATGTTAAATATTATGATTGTAATCCGGACAAACATTCGCCATGTAGGCTAGTCTTTATCATGTCACCTGCAGCGTCAGTTACATCGCTTCACTGCCATTCACAAAGCATCTCCCGTTGCCTCATGGCATGGGACAGTAAAGTGTCCATCGTATGCACACTTCAGAATCCCGCCGGAAGTAGTAGGTCACCTGGGTCATTTTTACCTACTGTCAATTCGGACAGTTCTTTTGTCACATACTGTTTTTTGCCTACTTTATAGTAGGGAAGTAGCCTACATACGATTTAGGATGCAGCCTCGACACACCGACATCAACCAAATTGGGCGTGAGATAGCTACAACAACCGCTTACTCAAACTGCATATAATCATTAACATTTAAGTAAACAAAGCTGACCGTAAAGTTAGGTTTTTTTGCCAACTTTATAGTAGGGAAGTATACGATTTCGGGAGCAGCCTCTGACACACCGACATCAACCAAATTGGGCGTGAGATACAACAACCGCTTACTCAAACTGCATATAATCATTAACATTTAAGTAAACAAAGCTGACCGTAACAGTTACGGTGGATATACAAATGGCATCCACTTGGTTCAATGGACATTAGTATTATCACTTCATTCAGGTGTAGCCTACAGTCAGGCTCCGTCCCAGCTGTGTACAGTGAGCCACATGCAGCTGTCAGAGGAATGCTTTATGATATTTAGGCTACAACTCATCTGTACACATCTGAGTTTGTTTAGCTTCCTCCCCGTATGGTTGCTATGTTTATATTTTGGGCGTAAATTTTAGACAATTTGTAAATAATGGGATTAACATTAAGAGAGAGAAATCCTACTGAATTCAGGCCAAAATCCACAATTGATGTGTAATTGCAAATATTTTATAGAATATATCTGTCTGTCTATCAATCTATTTGGTTCCCACACATTTAGAACAATGAATGTCCCTGGACTTAAAATAACTGTACATGAGAAACCGGTTCCAGTGTTATGTAAAAAGAAGATAGGCTACTCAGGCAGGGGCGTAGAATTTAGTAGGGACGCTAGGGACGTGTCCCTACCAATATCCAGTGACACTGATATATCCCTAGCAATAATTTCGATCAAAACTTAAAATATAATTATATCGACGTCCCCGTCCCCACCAATTTCAAAATCAAACCTACGCCACTGGGCTACTGTAAAATAATTTCAGCTCTTTTTTTAAACTCACAAAAAAATATGTCAGAATGCCACATAGCACAATACATTGTCCCTCCCACAACTCAAACAATGTGAAGTATATACTGTCTACAAAGTGACAACCAAAAATGTGCAGACTGCAGTTGTTATGAACCAAACAGATAGCTGAACCACATGCATTATTATTAATCTTATCTGTCTGTCACAAGAGTGCTAACAATTAAGGTAGCCTATACAAAAAAGAAATTTCAAGTGTCATAAAATAAATTGAAATCAATCAAATGCATTCAGATTTACTTGTGGGACAGTCCCAACAGGTAGATGGTCCAACATTCAAACATTTCGTTCATTCATTTGAATGTATAAATAATCATTTGAATAAATCACTATATCAGAATTATTCCTACCTGAGTTGCTGCGTTTAATCCATTTCCTTTAAACCAAAGACGTTTGGGGTCAAATCTCATGTGTTCACAGCAGTACTTTCACTAACTTCCGACTCTAGTATGAGTAACATGAGTAAAGCGCCAACACTTCACTGATGAGTTATAGAAATACAACAAGTGAGTAGAACGGCAGCCCGGAAGTTGTCCTTATTTGGTCAGGATAGCTGGGGTCTAAAAAATAAATACGTTAATATAACTATTAATTTCGAATTGAATCAATATAAACGTTTCTCAGTGCCATTACTTGTTGTAAATGTAAAAGTCCCTTTAAAGTCTTTTCTAGCACGTTCACAGCGTTGTCACGCGACACCTGTTACTTTTCTCAGCTCTGTCAGGATGGACCAATCACAGTTGTTTGTGATCAATGGCTTAAATATTTTAAAGAGATTGATAACATGCGTTTTTAGTTTTGAGCCATGTATAAACTTAAAGCAAAATTGAAACGATTATGATGTCCGTGGGACCGTGTATAAATTTCTCAAGAAAAGATAAAAATGCTACTGAGATTTGAATGGGTGTCAATGGAGAATTCGACGTTCTGAGCCACCAAGCGCCCCCTGGAGGAACAAAGACTTTTTGTCCCATTAAAAATATTTATTTGCCGTCCAACGGGTTCGTTCTTTGGCCCATATAATACAAGGCTACTGTAATCTGTCAGTCACATGGTTCAGATTGTAATCCTTAGAGTGTCTCACAAGAGTCTGGCTGCTGTCAATCATTTCCAGTTGTGAGATAAGGTTATCATTAACTGGGATATAAACAGACTTGTTGCGTGTTTTCTCACTGCCCATAAAAATCTGTCTTTGTGCTTAAAATCTGCAAACAAAAATTGCCTCAAGTAAGAAGGAATAATGGATAAATAACATTAGTTTGTTTTTATGGATTCATTGATAGTACTAGGTCAAGTGTAACATCACTTGAATACGCATATTGTAAAAAGCCTTAGATACAAGCATCAGCTAAAAGACTAATTAGTTAGACTTAATCTTCTTTGCAACTACTGATGCAATACATCACTGACTGAATGCATATTTATGTATATTAAATGTAACTCAAAGCATTTCTGTATACATACTTGCAGAAATAAATGCACATGTACTCTGATCACTCCAAAAAAAAAAAAACTTGACTAAATTTAAAATCTAGTGGAGTTACAGTAGGCTATATGATACTAGAAACTGAAAAAAAAAACATGTTTAGTGCAAAACAAATGAGAAAACGGAACAATGTGAGCCCTGCATGATGAGGAAAGAACCTCAAAACATCATCAAAGAATTCACATCCTGTTTAACAACCTTCAACAGAAGTAAACAACCTAGTTAATAATTATATACATGAAAAGTATAAAAGCGACAGAGCTGATTAACATGATGTTTATTGCCATTTATCATGGTGTACAAACAATAAAGGGGCCAGCATCTTGATTTGTGAACATAATTACACAACCAGTAGGGGTTCCATAGATTGCATTGACATCAAGTGTGAAATGATTTTGTATGGCATGTAAGAATATTTACTGAAAATCTAGCCGCGAAAATCTAAACATCATCTCATGGGAGACAGTGGGCTCAATGTTCACATAACAACTAGTAAAAGGACTTAAAGCTCAACTGTTCCTTTAGATTCCGCAGAGTCTGAATAAAAGATAAAAACATATTTAAATATTCTGTATATATTTTTTAAATGCTTGTTAAATACAGGGGTTTAAAGTAACAGTATTAACATCATATAAATTATATTAAACATCTAATTCACTAAATAGTTTTCGAATTATCAGCAAAATTGACATTTTTAAACTGCGTTCTCTTACAGAGGGATTGGGGTTTTAAGAAAGGCAATTTTATGATTTGGAGCTCATTTTATCATCCTCTAGGGGTGTTAATAGGCCTTGGTGGGACATTTTATCATCTTTTCTCCACAAATCTTGAGATATCTGAAAGTATCATTTGACTGACTGTTGATGATTGAAAATGCAGATACCTGAGATTCATCTAAAACTTGACAGACAAGTAAACACTCCACAGAGGTTTTTTAAGTTTCCTATTTCAAACAGTTCTGTGCCCGTAGCACAAAAAAACGAAACCAAATCAAATGTCTTGTAAAATTCGATCCCTATGGCATCAAACACATACACTAAATACCATCAAATAGCAACTCCCAATCAATATTTATACGCTTTTGATTGAGGATTCAGATAAAAACACAAAGGATTAAAAAAACACACTTGTAAAAATAATATACTGCAAATAATGCAGCAAGGCTAATCCTCTATTGACAAAAAAATAAGTGTAAGACACTTCATAACTTAGATCTTTAACAATATGAAAATTTAAATTTTAAAACAATACAAACACCTGCACACATTTACAATAACTTTCACTGCTGCTTTAAAGGCGTATTCGCATTGTTTGTTGCACAAAACGTGATAGAGCAGCAGTCTGCATATCTGTCGACAGAAATTTGCCTTGTTTAAAGAGCCATTCACTGTGAAGTTTCCCAGCTGTCTGTGCGCATGCGTTTGACTGAGTTCTCCATCTCGGGCGATGATCTAGTGCCCTGTGCTGATGTAGCGGTGGCCGTGTGAGAGTCCAGCCGCTGGTCCTCACGGTCACTGCCCTCATATGAGCTCCCAGAAGAGCTGAAGCTGTCGGCAGGAGAACGGCCCACTTCCTGTGTGGAGTTGGGCCGCGGCCTGGTGTGGACGGTGGGGTACACCGGGTGCCTGGGGGGGGAGACGGGCTCTGATTTGATGCTGATGGAGACGGTGGAAGAGTCAGAGGCCTGAACTTGAGGTTGTGTGGTTCTAGAGATAACAAGGACGGTTATCAGTATTTACACTACCATTCAAAAAGTTTCGGCAGTTTAATTTTTTTTTTTTTTTAAGAAATACATTTTATTCATGAAGAATGTATTAAATTGATAGAAAGTGACAGTAAAGACACTTGTAATGTTACAAAAGATTTCGATTTCAAATTTTCTTTCTATTCTTCAGTCCTGAAGAAATGTATCACGGTTTCCACAAAAATACTGCAGTGTTTTTCAATACTGATAATAATACGATTTTTTTTCCTGAGCAGCAAATCATCTTATTAGAATGATTTCTGAAGGATCATGTGACACTGAAGACTGGAGTAATGATGCTGAAAATTTAGCTTTGCATCACAGGAATTAATTACATTCTAAAATACATTTTCAATAGAAAACAGTTACTTTAAATTGTAATAATATTTCACAATTTTACTATATTTTTGATCAAATAAATGCAGCCTTGATGAACATTCTTGGTGAGACTTTTTTCATTAAACATAAAAAATCTTACAGACCAGTTTAAGATGGTCAGGCTTTTTTTAAACTTTTGAATAAAAGAGAAAAAGAAAGTTGCTACTGAAAGATTGATAAAATGCTTAAACTGGTTTTACAACTCGGAACAGATGTAATAACTCCACTTTCACTTTTTTTAAGTGAAAAATGTAAACTTTTTTCTTATTTTTCAACTCTTCTCTTGAATGAAAAAAGACTGAAAGTATTTGCCAATTTCCTGTGCTTTAAAAAGCACCTATTATGCAAAACCCACTTTTACATGGTGTTTGGACACAAATGTCAGTTGGCAGTGTGTGAACACAATCACCCTACAGTGATAAAAATGCACCCACTCCTTTAAAAAAAAATCCCCATTAAAGGTGCATTGCGCAACTTTTTATGTTAAAAATACCTGTTTTTCTATCCTATACATGCTTAAAGAACTGCCTGATGGGCTGAATGAGCCCTTCTCTGCGCACTGAGATTGCCTCTATAATCCTGTACAGTAAAATATATAAGAGGGATTCGGGCTCGAATTTGAGACTGGGCGTGACGTCATGCGCATTCACGCTCACCAGGCTATGTCTCGCAGGTTTGTGTATTCGCCGGCGCCGCCATTCTTAGCATCAGCGAAGACAACTCGTGCGTCAAAGGTAGAAGATGGATTCAAATAGACCGGCTTGTAGTCCATTCCAAACCCCAACGCAGACTCCACGTAAAGTAAAGAAAAGAAACATTTTGTCTAGTGCCACCAAAAGGTCCAAATTGGAGTCAGACAGCCGTCGGAGTAAGACGAGAGTCAACCTCGGGAAGGCATTCAACATATGGAGAGATCTCCGGTCTGCTCTTGGTCTCAAACGGGATCCTCAGTTGGCTTTTTTCTTGATAAAACGGTAAGATATAGCCCAGTCTCTAATGTTTGATACGGCCAATCTATATATGACAACAAATGACAATGCGTAAAATGTGTAATGCTTTAGCGTAAGCTAGATACATGTACAATCAGAATTGGTTTTACTACCATTGTTAGTGAACAGTTTCATAAACTAGGAATTGTGTTCGGAAGAATAGTACAACATGAAACATAAAACATATGCAATAAAAGATGCGTGTGGTGGTCCATGAGCGTGCACAACTCTGGTTGCAGTTTCGCTTGTCGCCAGAGGGGACGTAGTTCTGCAAAAACTCAGAGACTTGCGTATTGCACCTTTAAACCAAAGCAGTCTCTCATTAGACATGCCATTTTGATTCTCTGAGTGTGACATCACACCGCTCAGGCCCCGCCCACAGCCGCTGACTGACAGTACCACAGTTTCCACCCTCAGCGAGTTTTACGCTATCCGACATCTTCACCACACTCGAGCAGCTGTAGCGACAATGTCTAGTAAGCAATCCCTTTGTTCTGTTGTTGGATGTAAGAGTAAACATAAGAGTCTTCATTTCCTCCCAATCCATCATCCGTCTCGAGCCACTGAGGACTCAGTGGATTAGTTTTATTTTTGAAGGTAATGTGCCGCAAAATATACCTAAATTCGTTTATGTCTGCGCAAATCATTTCACTCCAGACTGCTTTGTGAACGAGGGTCAATACAAAGGGAAGAATACAAAACACAGGCTTTGCTAAAAAGTTATTACTCGAGGATGGATCAGTACCAACTGTTCGTGATCCAGCTTATTGTGTGAGATTGTCCTGATTTGTTGCCACCGGAGCATGAGCTCTTGAAGCTCCGCCCTCTTCCTGAAAGGGAGCAGCAGCTCATTTGCATTTAAAGGGACACACACAGAAAAGGCGCGTTTTTGCTCACCCCCCAATTTTAACATGCTATAAAAAATGATCTGTGGAGTATTTTGGACTAAAACTTCACATTCACACTCTAGGCCTAGAGACATCAGAGACTTTTTGTACATCTTGTAAAAAGTAGCATAATATGTGCCCTTTAACACTTTGGGTGAATGATGGAAATTCATGCCCAAAATGGATCACAATGTGGCATCACACCTCTATGTCATGTTCTCACCTCTGAGCACTGAACCCTGGCTGACTATGTTGGCTGTGTTTCCACGAAGACCCCGGACCGGATGTGACATCGTCTGATGAACTGAAGCCGTGTAAAGAACTGGCCTCTGCACTGCTCAAGGCAAAATCTGTAAGGAATGAAAGAGACGTAAGGTCCAGGGGAACAGAACCTGGTGTTATTAGATGATTTATTATGTTTAGGTCAATGATATACCTGTACTGAATGATGAGGTCATGGCAGAGTACACAAAGCCCTGGGGATGCAGACTGGGGGTTGCCATGGATACCACAGGTGTGGCCAGTGATTGGCTGGACTGAGAATTGTCTATTCTCTGAGGTTTAAATAGAAATGGTGGAACCAACAGGGGTTGATTTGTGTGGAGATAAAACAACAAAATTATATTCAATCTATACTCAGTATACATTATTTATCATACATCATTATTCATCACACATCACTGTTTTGCAAAACAATGCAGAGAGCTGGAGTTTTTCTGAATAAAACATTATCACATGGATGGATGGATCAGGAAGACGGACGGACGGTTGGGTGGATGAATGGATGGATGGAGTAGATAGACTACTATCTACTCCATCAGACAAATGATGGACCGATAGATAGATAGATAGATAGATAGATAGATAGATAGATAGATAGATAGATAGATAGATAGATAGATAGATAGATAGATAGATAGATAGATAGATAGATGGAAGGATGTATGGAGTAAATAGACAGACAAATAGATGGATGGACAGACAGATGGGTGGGTGGATGTATGGAAGGAAAGAAATATGGATGGATGTGTCTTAAGTGTCCAAATAATCTGTGTTTTTCAGTTAAACTTGTATTAAATTAAAGCTTTGACTGTAATGTGTCAAAGAACCACTAGATGGCCTCAAAGCATGTAAATGTTGAACACTAGGCAGCTGTAATAAAAGTGATTTTCTTAAAATTTTCATGACCTAGATAATGAGTCATTTTTGAAAAGCTTTTCTGAATAAAACATGATCAGATACCAAATGCTCCTCTCCTTCTTCTGGCAGCTTGCAAGAAAAAGATTTAAGGGGCGTTTCAGGCAGGTCAATACTCTCTCATTGTCTAATGATTTCAGGATGTTTCTCTGACACATGGCAGATAAAGCATCTCTCTCACCAGGGAAGAAGCGCTGGTCTTGCACGCAGGAGGAATGAGCACTCTCAGATCAGATTTGAGGCCCACTGTGGACGAGGCTTGAGGTTTTGCAGAAACGACTTTCCCCATTCTACTTCCTTCCGAGCCACCGACGAAGCCATTCGCTGAATAAGGCACAATAAAAAGGGAGATTATTACAAGTTTGCGTGAAGTGTAGGTTAACATAGTTTTTGGTTAGCGTAGTTAATGTAGTAACGTAGTCAGATTATGTTTTTATTATTTTTGAAAGAAGTCTCAAAAATGAAAAAGAAAGAGGTTTACCAAGGCTGCAATTATTCGAGCAAAAATACAGCAAAAATGTATGTGAAATATTATTACAATATAAAATAAGCGTTTTGTATTTGGACCTCACAGGTATTAACACACATAAGCATATAAACACATACGGTCTCTCTGACATTCAGATATTTTCATAGAGGGTTAAGAACAAGTACAGTATGTGCAGTACAGTATAGTGAAAATTTGATGGCTTCATACTGATAATATAATAAATCTGTCTACAAAATACAAATCCTGCTCTTTAAGAAACATTTATATGACTTGTGGATGGTTTGTATGTAAATAGAATTACACAGCAAGCATAGAAATAAATGAAATGTTCTTTAAACAAACTGTTACATAGTGGAACTTTATCATCACGGTCAGACACATTGTATAAGTTAACCAAAAAAGCACCTACCCACATGACTGGAGTGCACACCATTTGGAAGTGGGACGTCTGAGGAACCTGGTATACCATCTGAACATAAATGAATCAAAGAAACAAAACCTTCTGTTAAAGACACTTAAACCTAAGAGATATAAATTAAGGTTTCATTTCAAAATGTACGAGACCGATTCCTTAAAGCATAGTTCCTTAAAGACATAAACACTATGAACCAAAGCAATTTTGATATTTACCATGGAAATGAATGATTATCATATTCATCAACCATTGGCATTCAAAACTACCTCAAAACCTCACTGGAATTAGGATGGTAATAGCATTAAAAAATGTATGGTAATGATGTAGATCCTGACCCATGACAGCAGTGCTGTTGGTGCTCTGGAAGCCGTTGGAGGACAGAGACAGTATGTTCGCCCCGCTGAGGGACACTGGGGTGTCCAGGGAGCTGTCTGTACTGTAGGAAGTGGCGGGGTTGGGGACGGCCAAAGTCAAAGGCATGGAGTGACTCTGGTGACCCAAAGCAGCCGGCTGATGGAGACAGAGAAGAGGCAATATTGAGAGAGACGTCCAGGGATGAAGTTCGATTAAAGGCACAGTTTGTAAGTTTCACCACTAGAGGTCGCTTATTCAAAACAATAACAAAGGCGTGGCTTGATGACATCGTGAATGAGCGTGGAATCATGAGCTGTAGTCTTCTTCTCCACAGCCGATGGAAACATCCGACGGCACTCATGCAGAAATGATGTTCATGGGTGAGCTAATGTATTAAAGTTTTATTAACGTTACTGTGGTGTGAAGCAGGGCGGAGCCAAGAGTCTGGGACATTTTACGTCGCTGTATTTATTATGCTCATGCGGCAGTCGGTTTTAACGTTTTAACGTTACTCTTTGCGTTCGCTCAGTGGCTGCTATGAGACACCAGTTCACACTGCATTAAGCTAGATCGATATTAGAATATCATATTAATAAAAGCTGGATGACTTGTGTTGCTAAATGGCATGTAGTTCATTTTAAACATATTATATGGTGGAGAAAATGGTGTATTGCTGTTACTACAAATAAAACTCTTTCTGATTTTTGCTATGTTAGCCACTTGACAAAATAGAGTAAAGCGTCATTGGTGTTTTAATGGAAATGAATGACGTCATTGACACGGGCCGTTACACTGGTTAAAATAGCTGATTTCTCTGAATTTAAAGTCCCCCTGTGGTGAAAATCAAGCTTCTAATGTTGTTTATGTGTCTATGTGGTGTTTTTAATACGTGTTAAGACAAACCATGTGGAAATTCAAAAGTCAACACCATTGCTGAGTATTTTCTCTTTAAAACTGCAGTAAACCAAAGACAGTCTCAAAAACACGGTTTGATATCGCTGGTGTTTCTGACGTCACAAACTACCTTGTAACCAATCACGTCAGAGTGTGATCGTCAACGAGTGGATCTCTGAGCTGGTGTGAGTGAGTGGAGGCGGGACTAATTTACATATTCATAGAACCGCGTTCAAGCTATTTTAATGCATGACAATTTTTTTATCAAGGAAAAAACGTTTAAATGTGCCATTTTGGTGATCAAAGATGAGTTTTAAAGACTAAAATGATTGACTACAGGGGGACTTTAAACATTGTTGGAAACATTTGGAACAATGTAAGTACACAAGTCAACTAAATATATAACATTGTTTGGTTTTTGGATATTTTAATCCAAAAATCCTACATATTGTGCCTTTAAACAAGAAAACATTTCAAATTTTTCCCAAATTAGAATCATGATAATAATAATAAAAACATTTTAGTTGCTATGGCTTTCTGGATGCAGGCCCGACACTAAAGGGGCGTGATTCCTATGAAGGGGTGCTGCTTTTTAGTGGGTCTCTACATACCAGATGTGGTTGCTAGGATGTTCTTGATGGTCGAAACTAGGCTTTCAAAGACTTTCAAAAACATTGAAATAAACAACATTTTTACTACCCCAAACTTTTGAAAGGTAGTGTACATAACAGAGATGCCACAAAAAAAAAAAAAAAAAAAAAAAACCCGCGTATAACACTTTGCTTACAATTTTATGATTTCTCATCATATTGTCAAACTCTTCATTAATCTTCTGATATTTCTCCTCCGAGTGAGGCGTGAGGACATATGAAGATTCTGGATCTGGGCTGTCACAACCTCTGTGTTCCTTCTTGCTCAGCACCTGTAGAAAACAGCAAAGAATGAAGTATGATGGTATTAAAAATCGACATCACATTGGAAACTGATTGCAGGTATTCAGTCGATGCAGAATATTTTCAGACCTGTTACAGAACATTAGAGTGCTGAAGCAAAAGTGTAAGTGCAGGACAGTAGATTAAGGACCCTCTTGTAGCAGTTTAAGAGCCCTTGTGAGAGTGAATGGAAATCAGAAGCTTATCTCATCCTCAGGTGTCTGTAATGCTGTAACTCTGTGCTTTAATGTTATAACTGGGCTTATATTACAACAATGACTTCAAGAGTTCACCTAAGAGATTCTGACTCTCTGTTAATGTGGAAAACAAATCTACGCTTTAATAGTAAATAAATCAACACCAAAAAAAATATTTAAAAAATGCAATGACTGATTTGACAGGATCTGCCCCAATCAAATCATCATAACCGACTCCGGGCCGTCTAGGTTTGATGGCTATAGAATGTTGGAGAAGTTAATGCATTTCATGACCACTTTCGGTCTAGTCATTGAGTAATCAACGTGAAAGGGTCCTCCAATGGTAGACCTCCAATAAAAGTTGATGAATATTAAAAATTACACAATAATCACTGAGAAATCGAAATGAAATCTTCTGGTATACTCAGGAGACAGATGAAAAGCAGGAGGCAAAAGCAAAATTCTAACATTTAGAATTCTTTAGGTTTATATGGAAGTAAAATAATGTCAAATGTTTTTGAAATAAAAAGCCTGTTGAATTGCACTACTTGAAAAAAAATAAGCATTGCATTAACCATGCTTGCATTTTAATGCATTGTATTTTTAGGGCTTGCATTTTTATGGGCTGAAATTCAACATGGTTGAATATTTAAGCTGTGAATATTTCAATTAAAAACATTTCAAACACATTTTCATTATTAAAAATTCAATAATCCATATTCACCATTCATATTTCATTTCCAAAATATTCAAACTGTTTAAAAATACAACCAATAA